TGAAACATAATTCAAGGATTACGTAATAACTTCAATGATGTAATTAATAAACTCAACTTATGTTGAACCATTTACAAGGTTGCCGGAGGTTTGCAGGGTCTCTTCCCCAAATGTTGTGGATAAGTTTTCCAAATTCTCAGTTTAAGAAAAGAAGGAAATCATTAATTGATCATATTTCCAGAAATAAAATGTTTTACTACATGGAACAACAGGGTCTCTTTTGAAATTTTCAGGCAGAGATCCTCTGGCCCTGTATGCACATGCCTATTCAAGGAGCAATAGATTGCTTCCTATAAGAATGATATAAATTTTCCCTTTTAAGCAGTCATCTGACACCATAGTCAGCAAACAGGCTGCTTTGCAAATTAACTTTTGTTAGATGGCCACTACTTCCTGCCTAATTTGACATTTTGATTGGTAGTACTGTAAGAAGCAGAAGACTGTTCTTGATTCAACTTCTTCTTACATCAGGATGCAATGTCAGATTACCCAAAGATAGAGCAGTGAAATCTATCTAATACCATGTTTATTTTCACATAACAAAATATGATTTTTGTTCTTATTCTTAAAGTTTCCTCAAGGTGTGAATTACATCTTCATATTGTAGTTGAGAATTAACTCTACAATTGAAAAGAAGCAACCACAAGTGAAAAAGAAAATAGTGCAAGTACTCAAAATTTAAAGATTTTTTATACAAAGGTCATAGAATTTAAGAATTAATTATTTAAGTGCACTCATGCAAAAAAGAAAAACGATGTTTTTTAAGTGTAATTAAAAATATGTGAATAACTAAAGCATACTTAACTTAATTGAAAACAAATTTAGAACAGGTCACTTTCAATGCTCTCATCACCACTGGCAAAGTGCGCTTGCAGCCATTTTTCACAGAAACCAACAGAGAGCAGGTTTCTATGAATGTAAAGTAACAACCATTCCAACACTAATGTACATATCAGAAGGACGTTCATTAGGCTAAAGAGATAAACAATTAATAGAAGCAGCACAAACAAGATTTTTGAGACATTTGCTAGGAATAACAAAGCAAAATAATGAAAATATTAGAAATAAAATAAAAGTTAAAAATGCAATAAAGGAAAAAGAAGGTAGTCAAAAGCGATATCTGGCACCAGTGACAACTGCTCCATAAGTGCGAAGCCATTCTTTTCAATAAATAAAACAATATATCAATAGATCAGATTTTTGTTTAATTCACTAAGCAAAATGCTGGTGAAGTGCACCAATTTCTGCGATTGGCTTTCAGTTTTCTTAACATACACTCCTACACACTGACAACTGGCTGGGTCTGGAATCTCGCTTGTGCTTTTTTTATTAGGAAGCCGGATGATATCACACAGATCAAGAGCATTCATGTTATTCGAATGTGTAAAAAAGTTGGCCATTTAAGCACTTGAAGGCTGTGAGATTCACAAAATCGAGCAATGCTGTTGGCAATGTTTAGCAGATCTGCCAACAATCAAACATTTTCATACAAAAAAATATGTAACTATTAACTGATTGCACTGATAGTCACCATAATGAGATGACCACCAGACTCCAAAGTGTAACAGTTTTAATGCTGATATTTTTACACTTGCTGAAATAAACCAACACCAAATTATCAATAAAAAGCTAATTGCCACATGAAATATAAATGATTTTGTAAGTAAAATATTAGGTATAGTTTTTATTATTTTCATGTGGATGTATTTTAAACTAAGAACATTCACTGACACTCAAGTAGTCTCATCAAAAAAATTGTGTAATTGCTCTCATTGTATACACCAGACACGTGGTAAAAATTCCATAAAATTTCCAATTTTTATATTAGTATTTTTGAGAAGTATTTTAAAGAAATAGAATAAACCTTTTACTAGTTGGATTCTAAGAAAGAATTGCGCTCTTGTTTTGCACTGCATAAACCATTCTGAAATAATAAAGTCTAAATGGAAAATAGTCTAAATAATAAAGTCTAAAGTACAAAGTCTTGATGTCAGAATCACTGTCACAGTATTCCTCTTCTCTTCATCCTCATCCATGCTATCAAATAAAATTTGTTGCACTCTTGCTATCTCCTTTGGACAATCCAAGCCAAAGAATTGTTTCTGACATGCCACCCTGTACAATTATGAAAATAACTACATAAATATGTCATTGTACATCTAAGATACATGTGCCAGTATTTTTGAAGAGAATGTTAATTGCTACGAACCAAAAAAACTAGAATGAGAGTAATTAGAATAAAATCACAAAAATAAGGTGAAGAATAAAAAAATAGATTGATCAATAATACGAATTTGGTGTTTAACTGAGAGGTGCACTAGCCGCTGATCATGACGATTGACCTATGTCGAAACCTCATGGAATCGCCATCATGTATCTATGAACCTTGCTTGGGAGGGGTAGGGTTAGAATCTTTCTGGCCTTGGGTGCTAAAAAAGCTAGCAATGCCACAGCTTTTTACAGCACACAACTGGGTTTCAGCACCAGCCACCACTGGCTGACACAACAAAAAAATACAAAGGACTAGATTCATTAATATAATTCTATACTGGTACAGACAAGAAAGAAGAAGAAACATCAGAAGGTCCAAAATACAGAGGGAGAAGTAGGTTCACTTAATGCAATAAACCACTGGCCCCCTGCAAGCACAGAAGAAACCAAAAGGTACAGGCCGGGAATACTAAGCATCTGCATGTTCATTATGACAAAATTTTATTTATTTCTGTTTATTATGAGTGATCAAATAAGCCGGGGTGGAACGTATTTAAATACTTGTATTTAAAATACATGTTTTAAATACATTTTGTATTTGAAAAACTGTTGTTTTTGTTGTTGTTTTTTTTTGTGTGTGTGTTTTTTGTTTTTGTTTTTTTAGATGTATACATAAAATAGGTGTATATAAAAAACAAAATTGTTTAAATACAGATAAAAAAAGATCACAAGGCTAATTTTTTTGTTTGATTCCGCCAGTGAATGCACCTCATTGAAACAAAAATAAAAGTTTCTTTCAGCTGTTTAATTTGAATTATCTTCATTTCTAAATGGTACGTTTAAATTGCAAATGCTGAACAACTATCTGACAATAAAAAAAGCATTTATTCGTTATAAACTAGTTTATGTTCTTCCATGCCAGTTGAACAACTGTTTTCTTTTGCGAGTTTTATACATTCATCAACTGGGGGTTTATTGCCTGACGATTTGTTTGAAAGATTGGTCGTTTTAAAAGAGAATTTCTTTTATTTGAGTTAGATGGTTTTATATCGTTTTATATTTGAAATTGTTTATACACATATGTATATTACAGTTACAGTATTGTTCAGAAATTTGTACAACTGTCAATTAATAATTTATTGTAATAAATAGTTGCAGTACATTGTAGCAATAAAAAAGATCATGAACTGACCAGAAATTAGGCTCTATAGCCTGTTTTAATTGGTTTATTACAGTATTCTTGGTAGATTCTTACTCTTCCATGTGTTTCTGCTGCTGCCACCTCTGTAGTGATCTCTGATCCCTGTTAGTTTGTACTTCCAGATTAATTTTGGAAATCTATTGTTGTTCATTCTCTGTAAATGATCTTTCTATCTCCTTTGAGACTGCTCTATCTCTTCTACTAAACATTTGATTTTCAATTTCTTTCTGTCTTTATTTCTTAGTTTGTCTCATCTTGTGATTCTCATGAGGGGTCTTAGAAAACTCATCTGTGCTGCCTGTGGTTTTTGTTGGTCTCTCTCTTTCATTACCTAGGTTTCAGCACCATACATGATTCTTGGTTTAGCAGCTATATTGTGGAGTTTGTTTTGTTTCTGGGTCCATGTCTCTGCCTTGATGAAGAGTAACTTGAATGTTCCACATATTGTATTGTAGTTATTAAGTTTGTTTTCTATATTTCCTGAGTTTGGCTGTATGCACTTATGATATTTCCAAGATATGAAAATATATTTACTTGTTCAAATAATTTTCCATTTATTACCATTTTGGCTGTCCTTTGTTCCTTGCCTTGTATTGCCATAACTTTTCTTTTCTGAATTGCTATCTTCATCAAATATTCTTGGGCTACTTTTGTCAATTCAAACATTGCTCTTTGTAAATTAACTTCAGAATCCATTAAAGAAAGATATAATACAAAATTATTATAGTTACTGTATTTTGAGTATGTATTTAAATACATATTTACAAAGTGTTTTGGTGAAGTATTTAAATACTACATTTAAAGTATTTTGCCTAACCCTGTGAATAAGGCCCTATTATAAAATAAATTATGAGAAAGTAATTAACTAAAAGTGACAAATTTCTTATTTGCTCTCTTTATACCTGTGTTGAAATGTTTTATTTAAAAATCATTAGGAATAGTACTGAAATCATCTGCACTACGAAAGTTACAATTACTACACCATGCCTCAACACAATATAAATTTAACTTGTGAACAGTGAAAATGAAAATGGTAAGAACTTTCATTTTGTTTATGAATTGAAATTTATTTCAAATCATGAACAGTACTTGTAATTAATAAATATTTCTTTTCAAGTCTGGTTGTGAATTTTTATTTATTCAAAACATGTTATGATTTAATCATTTGACTTGTGAGCAGCAATACTACAAAAACTCAACCACTTATTAGTTCCACTTTGTTCTTTTTGAGATACGGATAATTGAATTGATTGTGTAAATAAAGTAAACCTGAGGTAAACCTAATCGCAGGTACTAAAAATCCATTGTTCGTGTAATTCCTTCATTCTGAAACTTTTCTATTATTAACAGACGTTTTGATTGATCATGTGAAAACTAATACCTTCTACTAGTTATTTAAGTTTCATAGAGGTACTCAACTCACTAGCTGAGATGGTGTCTTGTTTTGCTGCTGCTTTGATAATAGTTTTTCTATTCTCTTCAAATTTCACACACTTTTAATTTCTCCTGAAATAATTTACTTCTTGATTAAATTTTTAAAAATTGATCAGGATAATAGATGTAAAGAAAATAATAAAAGAGACCAAAGTGTCAACAAGCAGAACACTATATTTTTCAATGTTTCCAGGTACATAGAAAATGCATAATTTCTTTCCATATAACATACAATTTCAGTGTTCATATTTCCTTAAGAATTACACACTTATATAAATTTTCTTTCCTCTTAATTTTATGTGTATTTATATATGGATCACATATCTTGTGGTTATAAATTCATATTTACATAAATATATGTACAAAAATATCTCAATCTTTTATGAGACAAGGGTATGGAAAACATACAAATATCTTTCCTCCAACTGTGAATGTTTAATAGTCACATGAACATTTATATCAATGACATGTCTTTGACATGAATGCTAGCTGTAAATTATGTATGTGCAAGGATATACATATAATAAATGTTATCAAATATTTATATCTACAAGATCATGCAAAAGTTAAGATCACCAATTTAGCTCAATATACGTTGGACCACATATAAATTGGCAAGATAATTCAATGAGTGATTTTGCACCATCACTACCTCAATTTAATAAATATTATGTGATCTAAGGCTTATTATTATTAAGTTCATTAGTGATGGCTTTATGCAGATTTTCTACAAAATGTACAAGTAGATACTGCACATAACAGTATTAAATGTCTTAATCTCAACAGAAGTCTATTCACATTTTACACACAAATACTTTCAGCAACTGGAATTGGAAGTGCTGTGATCCTATGGAAATTCCAATGAATTTCAATGCATATTTTCTTATATTAAACAAAAATACAAGTTTACTACATACAACAAATTTGATTAATTGTCTGTCCAGCAACATTGATGGAAGTGAGAAAATACAGCAACTGACAAATGATCACAACACTGTTTTAGACACCATAAAACAAACACATATTATAACATTGCCTCAGACACATGCTAACAGTAGTACTGTTAATTCAACTTATCAGTGGAGGAAAGTAACCTAAGCATGACATTCAACATTGAGCTGATTGACACCTTAAACAAGTAGCAGAATATTTCAGCATTAGTATACGTCATTAATGTAATATACTTCTCCCCTTGTGAAGTTCCTGATCCTCCTCCTGATGATGCTGCTTTTAAAAAACTTGTCTACACCTTTCCTGAGTTAACTGTATACATAACATTGACATTCAAGAATGCTGACTAGTGATATGGTTAATGGCTGTATTATTTGAAGTTAAAATCAAAAATTAGATATATGTTATTCAGCCTCCTCATGGAATTAGATTTAAGCATTTTAACTTCAGTGCAGAAATATTAGCTTAAGGAATGGTGAATAATGAGAATAAAATAACTATGGTCTCCAACATATATTAAAAGTATCTCAACACATTATGTTGTCACATAAATGAAGGAAAGGCAAGTCCATGACAGCTCTCATAACCACAGTGTCACCAAAAACTTTTTGGTATTTTAGCACTTCTCTCCTGGAAGTCTCTCACAGTTCTTCCTTAAAGGAAAACAATATTATATTCTCTAGAAGAGTATCTGTACAATAGCTCCAGCCACAGCCGATCCATCCCAAATGAGATGCATTCTATTTGGAAGTTAGCACTTATTTTCAGCTATATTCACATAGCACAACATGTAAGACATTAAAAATAGATATATTTCTGATAATATCAGATAATTTAAGTGAAGCTCAACACTTTTAAAAGTAAACTTCACAAGAAGATGTACCAACTCTTCATTGAGTGGCAAAGCTTCAGACTTTACTCTCAGGTCCATCAGTATTGTGCTTGAAGGAGGCACGAATGCGAGTCAAATACAGTGCACATAAGTGTCCATAGCTCTTGTTGTACCACTCTGGAGTCCGGCCCCTGAAATAAATTATTTAATTTATCAAAATTTGTTTTCTAGAGGGAATGTAGGGAAATTGAATCTTAATTTTTTTTTTTTTTATTTAGTAAAGAGGAAAAATTTGGTAAGCCAATATGGAAAATAATATAAACCAAATAAACAACTACAGATGCCAGTGCAGTATTAATTTCTTCAAGAAGATTCATGTACTTCAAAATTAACGAGTACATTAAACAACAATTATAAATTTTAAAAAATAATTTAATCTCAGAAGATTTATAATATTCAGCAAATAACAAAACTTAAAGATTTATTTTTATTACTTTTTCTAAAGGAAATGGACAAAATACAGAAGGCAAACATTATTTCAAATAGTTGGACAATATTTGAATGTGAAATGAAAGGAAAAATTATTCATTAATAAACTTAACCCTGTTTTAGGCAAAACTTAAACCACTACTACCAATTTTTCATCTATATAACATTCATTAACAAACATTTTCTTTCAGCAGTTTGTTCAAGAAACCAATTAGGAGAAAAGTGAAACATTCCAACACCCTCCCAAAATCAGGATGAAATTGAAACACATTTTCAGAAAATTGAAGACAGTAAACATTACAATAATTAACTGTGATAAAAAGATTGCATTGTTATACTTACTTAGTATCAACTCTGGACAAGTGCATTATTCGGGACTTCCCTGACCCACAAGGTTCAATTAGATATCGTGAAGCCAAAACGATTCCTCGCACTCCTCCCAGCATAACTTGAGCATCATGGTGCTCCACTGAAGTTTCAACTATCACACAAGCACCTTTGGGGAGGTCTGTTCGCCATGACCTAAATAAAAAATAACAATTAATAATAATAAACAAGAAACATACATGTCTACAATAAATATTGCAGGATGTAACTGGACTTTAAATGAAAACTGGGTATACACTTTTTGTTTACATTCAAGATGTATAACACTTTAATTTAGAGTTATGAGTAGCAAATAAATATGTTATTTATAAACTATTGTGAAAACACAAATTGTATTAATAAATGCATTAGGGTTAATAAACTAAAATTTCAAAAAAATATTTCAAGTTCTTTTTCCCTCATCCCAAACTCACATCACAGCATTTCTTGTGAAATCACTTCAAAAAATATAGCACAAATTTTGAACAAAATTTTTCTATTTAAGTTTTAATCACAATAATTCTGAAATATTTCTGAAAGAGGATTAGTGCTTATTGAGATGAAAAGGCCTTTAAATCAGAGAAATATTCATTAGCAGAGAACAAATGTGCTTATTAATACAATTTTATGTCTATTTTCTATAGAAATAAATATAAAGGAATTAAGCAAACTCAAACCCTGTTCAATATCATACAAAGAAATAACCTTTAATGTAATAAGAACTGTTCTACAGTGTAATATGGAATGCCTCTTGAGAAATATTTTTAAAAAAATAATTAAAGTTAAATTAATTAAAGAACGTAGGGCAGTAAGGAGAGACGTCACACCAGCCACAGCATCACATGTCCTGCAGTTCATAAAGGTTAATATCTCAATTTCAGTTTAACTTAGTCTCATTTTGTTACTACCCTAAACCTTCCATAAATGTGAACGAGATGAATGTAGTAAGAAGATAAGCCACAATTTCACCAAAATTGAGGCAATTACATTTACGAATAACAGGAGGCATACTGTGGCTTACCGTGTTGCTGCCTCAACTCTTGACAGTTTTCATTTTTTTAAAGATTACTCAATATGCATTCCATATTCTTGCTACTATGAATATATGTACTACTAACTGCTATCAATGTACAGAGCCTAGTGAATAAGAAAAAATATTGAAACTATGATTTTACTTTAACATTTTTCCATTTCAGTTTGTTTTGCACACACGCACAGCTTAAAGCATAATTTCTTCAATTTCACAAAATTTTTAAGTTTTTAAAATATTTCTTAACAATTTATTCTTGTAAGTAACTGTCTTTATATTATTCAAATGATACAATGAGGTATTCTTTCAATTTCTAAATTAAAATCTGATACTTTTTTGTTTGCCTTGTAGACAGGGCCATAAAATTGTCCTATTATTCCTTTCACTCCAATGATCACAAAATTGAAGTTATTGTTTGAAAATAATTACTATCCTCAGAAGTTCATTGATAAATGTATTGGAAAAAGACTTGTAATTACAAAGAATATAATTCAATAATCTTCTATTGTTGGCATTGATTTGACTACCCATGGCAATAAATTTGAACAACCCCATAGAATTGTTTTGCCGTATGTTCCAAATATTATTAATAATTTCACCAAAGAATGTTTCAGAAAAAAACTAAATCATATCAATAATCTTCATATTAATAAAATTAACCTTAAAAATGTAAAGGACTTGATTCCATTCCTTGAGACCGAAAATATAGTTTACTGCTTTTTTTGCTTACATTGCCTGTATCAGTCAGACGAAGCCCAAATTACAACAAATGGTGAATGAACACCAGAACAACATAAAAGATATTGGATATCATCTAAATTATATTTCCCGACATCAGCTAAATACATCTTATAAACTTAATTTCCTAGAACCTACCTACAAATCTAGGAAATATTTTCATATCATTTCAGATTCCATACAAATTAAAACACAAGATACAAAATTGATGTGAATATAATCAATTGTATGATAATGTTTTACTGAAAATTAAAATTATGAATAACCTGACCCAACTTAGAATTAATTGAATCTTCTTTTATGCCTTATTTTCTCCTATTCGCTTAATTTCCTTTCTTTCTCCTTTTTTTATACAGTTTCAATTACTTAAGCTCCTGACTTCCTGACTCCAATCTGCTGTCTTCCCCTCATTACACCACTCTCCTTTTCCTTTCCTGTAAACTTACTCCAGTCATTTCCCCATTCTGATGCTCAAGTTCTTGACAACACACCTACCAAAATGGGAGATGCAAAAGTGTTTCTTCTTTATCTTATAGTGTATGGTTATTTTTTAATAAGTTGACATTGACCACAAAATTTGTTCTATTTACTATTGGTGCTGATTTTTTGATCAATTAACTGGAGAGTTTCTCTGACCTTTTGCCCTCATTCTTGTATTTTAATCAGCGTCTTTTTAGTGTAATTTTGCTTTGTTAATTCACTTTTGTGCTAATTTGATTTTTTTATAATACCTATTGTGCATAATGGTAATATGATTTTTGTTTTTCTTTCATAGTTGATTCATTTTATTTTAATGCACAACTTGAAGATGTGAATGAATCATTTCACGAAACATTGTTTTAATAAAATACGAAGTTTACCAATTCAACTCAATATACAAAGACTGTTTTTTTACAATAAATTTTAAATTGTTTTTAATACTGATTGTCTATAAAAATTGAAAGGATACCTCAATACATGATTTGATGCTTTCCAATTTGTACCAATGCTACACATTAATGAATTATTACATTCTAATTTTTTTCAAATTTCTATTTCTTTGTGGTATTGAACAAACTTTGAGTCAATTTAATTCTATAACATCTAGTATATTTAGAACAAATAGATGGATTCATATTTTAAAAAATGCCATGAACCAGTGTTTTAGTAATGGAAAGTTCATGCATGTTGTGCATTACAATTTTATCATACAAGTTATCCTACACGAAATAACACTTAATATGCTATTCAGAAAACGTAACATCATTTATGTGCTAGTGAAGCTTCCTTTATACAACCATATTTGTATACATTGACACTAATGTTAATATAAAAAAAATATATCATATTTACACACTATTTGATTGTATACAGGTGCGGATCCGCGAGGAGAGAAAAGAGGGAAATTTCCCCACTAAAATTTTTCAGTAACTATTAATTTTAACTTGTCATCAAACTTGCAAGCAAAAATATTTTTGGATAATCATTAAAATAAATAAAATCATATCGCAGCATGAGTGATACGATGTAGACTGTGATATTTTACCAAAGCTGTAACTTGACACGTTTGACCAAAACATTTAGAATTTCCTCTCCCAAAATTGTCTGTTTCCGCCCCTGATTAATATCTGAAGTCAACATAATAATAATAAAAAAAAAAATTATTAAACTTGAAAGATATGATATGGCAGTTGATAAAAATAAATTGTAGCCTAAATTCTTACTTCGTTTTTCAAATAAGATACTTGAAATTATTAATTTAATGTGAAATGAATTATCTTGGTTATTGAAATATATTAATGATTTTAAACATTAAAGAACTAGTATGAATATCGACTAATAGATCAGATAAATTTTATGAAATATTTTAACACGGAAAGAAAATCTGAAGTATAAAAACCTCACAGAACTGATCAACACAATTTTCTCCTCATAGATAATTGAAAACATAAGTAGGTCAGTTTTTATACATATGTTTTTCTGTTTTTCATATTATTTTGAGGTAGCCACTGTGACATGAAAAGTAGGTAATAATTATCACCAGGAAGGGAAGAAATTTCTAATGCTTCAGAGATTAGAAAACACCCACTACACATACCTTAGAACACAGTAGTCCTTGGCAGGCAGAGGTGCCATGTTAGCACAAACATACTGGAATACTTCGACTTGAGGATCTAGTCGAGCTACCACTCGCCATTTGAGCAAACTGTAGTCCCACACGTGGCGCTCTCGCAACACCCTTTGCAAGAGTTCCTGAGGAGGTGCTTCAACTTCTGTAGATACCTTCCACAACCGCAAGGGATGTCCATCTCCCACTTTTTTGTATGCCATATCTACTTGATGGTCAGTAGTGCAAGTCATATTGACCCAACCTCGACTCCTGGAAAAAAAAAAAAATTGTTTTTGTGCAAAACCAATTTCAAGTTTCAACATACAAATATTTTTCTAATTGAAGTATTCATTATTTATTTTCTTGGAGAATGGTTTTAAAACTTTTAGAAATTTTTTCCACTAAGAGAGAGGTAGGCATTATCAAAATAGTTAAGTTAATTTGAAAGCAATGCCCATTCCAAAAGTTTCTTCATTTCATCTATCGCATTTTCAAATAACTAACATGTTTCACAATTTTCACACATTTCAAGTATATATTTTCTTCTCTAAATCAAGACAAGCAAAGTACTTGATGTTTATTTACATAAATGACTGAATATAAACAAACATTCACTTATAAATCTGAAGTAACCTATATTAATATTATGTGAGTAATTAATCATCTATTCTTACTTTTCTCGAGCTTCCTTCAGCAGAGCAGTTGTGCAAGCATACAGATATCCTCGCCAATCTTGTTGGAATTCAGCACCAAGTTCCTCAAGAGCTACTGGAATGCTCTCTTCCATATAGTTAAAATGACACTGAGCCAACATATCTTCTGCAACCTGCATTTAACATTAAACCACATGTTGTCATGTCGATGTCACATTTTTAGAAATAAAATTAACTTTGTGTCTAAATGTAATATTTAAAAAATATTATTGTATACTTACAACAAAAAGTTCTTTGTGTTCTTTGATAAGGTAGAGTAGGCAATCATGAGCTGCTTTATTTTCATTCAGTTCACGAGGATCAGGAACTCCCACAGTTTTTCTTCGCCGAGGAGAAACAGAAGCTGATCTGCTGGCCGTAGTGGGAGTATGATGTAAGTGAAATAGCGAAGGAGCAAGACATACAGCTAAGTTGCTGGGATTCATTTGATTACAGGCAGAACGAGCAGACACTTGATGAAGAAATTCAAGAAGTGTTTGCAATGCTTCTCTGTGCTCATCAGGTAGCAATAAAAGCACACATTGCACTGCTTCTGCACGCAATTCAACAGGAACATCTGAAATTTCAGCAAAATTTTGCATTAAACCACCAGAAATAATAACATGTCAGCATAACACTAAACATAAGTGTTTTCAAAATATCATTGCAGATTTATATATGAATATTGAATCAATAATACAAGGAAATTTCCAATGAAGCGAGGAAGTAAATTAGCTTTTGGTATTTCGTAAAACTAATTAATTGAAACCAAAGATTTTTTAAAAATAAAAACAGGGGTTCATCTTTGAATGTTATAATGTTGGAGGGTGTCATATGTATTCCTGTAATGTGATGTTGTAATAATTAATAAGTAAATATATTGGAAGTACATGTATGGAAAGTTTATTACATAAGAACGAATACATTACTGTTTTAATTAATATTCCCATTTAAGTTTCCTAATGGGTCCAAATGATTATTCCCTCTTTTAAATAATTTCTAAATTAGAAACAAAACTACAGATCTTTGAAAAAGAAAAAAAGAAGAAAAAAAAAGAGAAAAAGAAGAAAAAAAGAAAAAAAAGAAGAAAAAAAGAAAAGAAGAAAAAAAGAAACGAAAAAAAAGAAAGAAAAAAAAAGAAAAATTTCTCCTCTAGTGCAAATTTTACAGCAAATATCTTCATAATGAAAAATATCAATACCTAATTTTACTGGATAAACCCAAAATATACCTGAAAACTATTTTCAATGTTTCCTTTTTGATTTATTATTTTGTCTGAATTAAATAAGTGTTACAAAAGAGTGTGTCTCAAAATTTTGTTAGTAACTACAGAAATGTTCAGGAATAATTTTCAAGAGGGAAAAAGAAATTTTGATTGAGGCAACTGAGCAAATATTTTATCTTTTAGAGGTTGGTACATCAAAAATGCTACATATATGTTGTTTACTCATGCGTCACTTTTCAAAAATGAACCTAACGCAAGAAGTTGCATGAAAATGGAGACTTTTTTTATACTTAAGGAAAAAATAATGATTTATTTTTTGCTCTCATTGATAATGTGTATTAAAATAATAGTGAGTCACTTTTTCAATGATTGTGTGTACAAATACAAATTAAGAACTTTGAAAAAACTTACGTTGAAAAATAGCTATGAATGTTTCTGAAAGTTTGTTGGTAAGAAGAGCTTCAGGCAGTTCTCTAAAATACTGTTTCACCATATCAGCAACATCGTATGCTTGCTGCCCTTCATAACTTATATGCTCTCCTTGCATTTCAGCCATAAGTTTCAGCTTTTGAATCCTGGAGCGCACTCCAGATTTACGGAAAATGCCCACTTGATCAAGAGCATTCACTCGCAGCCAACGCAATGCAGCTTGTATGCATTTTGGAAGAGCTTGTCCATTTCTTTGCAGTGATAGTAGCAGTGGTACACCAAATACTGTTTTATCTGGAATAAGGAGATGTAATATAAAATCACAATGAAATAGTTTTACTCATTCATACAAAATTGGGGTTAAAGGAAAACAATCAAAATGCTTTATAATGAATACAAGGTGAAAAAATGTCAGATTAACCTTCATGGGACTAATGAAATTATTTTAATATTAAATTTTATAACGAGACCACATTATTCAAAGCCTTCTTTTGAAATCATAATGCTAACCTTTGTAATCTGGTGCTTTAATTTTCCTAATAAATTTGGGCAATTCCCAATTCCAGCCAGTGCGATGGGTGGGGCAGTATCGCTCCATACACGCTGTTAGCTTTAGAAGAGCAAGTTTGCGCAGCACCAAGAGTTGACCACATGAGAGGGATCCCATTGGTCGAGAACCTGGTACTGGTCCACCTTCAGGAGGCCTGAAGAGACAGGAGTCAGGTCGGCCAGAGCCCCTCTGGAAGCTGTGCCATCTAACAACTACAGCCCTGCAATAAAATCTGTGAATTAATACCTAGTTTTTCTTATAAATATGATGCAAAACATTTCATATACACATAATTAATTAAAAGTCTTATTAATGGTGGGTTGTTTACTAAGGAGCTGTTCAGCAAGTTCACTGGAAGAATTTAAAGTCGTTAATTTCAGAGCAAAGGCAACTAGCTGTTAACTACTAATTGTTGAAATTCTTGGTAACAGCTCTACCTCCAAAAGAGAAACAGCAGTAAGTAAATCTGCACTTCGACATAATGACTTTTTGTGGTTGAACACACATATTCTTCTCTAAACAAAATATATAATTCATAGCCACCATGATTTTTATGAAAACAACTATTTTAAACAAGCTTGGAGACAGTTCAAAAGAAAACTTTGCAAATAAATATTTATTAATGCTTACTTGTGTCTTGGAGTAATATCAACCTCATCATGGTCACTGTCTGCTTGTGATGCAAGAGTACTACTTGAATCTTGACTTGCAGTCAGTTCTGAAGAACCCGACTTATCTCTGAAGGATGAAGTGTCTGACAAAGAAAGAAAAGACAATTAGAATACATGGATTTATTACTTCAATCAACAATTATCATCTTGCAAGTCAATTCTTACCCCGGCCAAATGCATGTTGGAGCTTGTCTCTGTACCTTTGGCTTTCTTTACCTAGGTTCAGACTACCCGCTCGAGCTGCCTGTGTTTTGCTACTTGTGATGCGTTGGGTGGGATCTTGATCTTGTGGGCCTCGACTCCTTCCATCCACAAATTCTAGTACCTGAAATTTGGAGAAAAATTTAAGAGCATAAGTTAATGAGTTTAGTTTAAATAACACGAAATACAACAATTATAAAGTAATTAAATTGATGATAACAATTTAATCAAATCAAATCAAACTGGCTGGTCCACAAAACTCACTTTGTCAAAAACCTGCATTCTTATTCAGTGTTTCTAACTGATCAATTGCAGATTCTCATTCCCTGTTAGCAAGGACTTTTGTTAATTGTTTTTAATGGGAGTTCAAATCAAGGAGCCTTAAATATTACTGAACCCACATTTGATCCACAAAGCAGGCTATGTGCCAGTGAGCAGTAAGTTGTCATGTCTCCTGGAAGTTAGGGAAATAACAAAATGGATGATTTTGTGTTGAACCCTGTACCTTTTAATGTCAATGGATAAGTGAGTGATAAATGAAAAATTGGACTACAGATGATGAATTCTTGTACACACTCTACAGGTAGTTGAATAAAGAAAATAAATACTTCAATTTTATTTTTATTAAATGAAAAATAAAATATTTGGATACAAAAGAAGATAGCTAAAGTTTTATTACTGCAAAAGGGCATATAAATAATTTAAAAATGGTCTTCTTTTCAATTATTTGGGAAAAAACTATGGTGTTGATTGATGTTAGTCACTTAATCTGAAACTGATTCTTGGGCTCAACAGTAAATCCACTGTGGCATGGGCTCTAGCTCAACACCACTACAACTTCAACACAGAACTCACACCAGGTATCCCTAGGCTGCACAAAGGTGGGGGGGTTGGGGTGGGTGTGGGATGGGGCAGGGGAGTCGTAATCCACACAAAATTTCGATAGGGCCGTATACCCTACACAATGAAACAATGTTTATAGTAAATATTATCAATTTCTGATTCCCCTTTTTCGTAGCTGCGTACACTTCGCAGATTGATGTACGACTTTGGGGGAAGAGCTCTCAAACTACTTGTCAACCGAGTAACGGTTAAACAAAACAATCAATTGAATTATTATTTGGCATTGTTTAATAGAAAAGGGCTCAGCAATTTTAATGCCTTCGTGTTTTAGTCTGTGCTGGGCACGCCTTTGCAGACCCACCTTGGTGTGGTTGCTGTTGGCGTCCTTAAGGTACTGCTGCGCCACTGGTGGGTTGCACCTCCGAGTCGGAGAGCGCGCCGGTCTCCTCCGCGCGCCGCGACAGCCGCCGCGACGACGAGCGGTGGTGGCGCTGCGGCTGAGGCGCGGGGGGTGCGGCGGCGGCGGCGGCCGCGCGCGGTGCGCGGGGGTGGTCGCGGAGCCGCTGCCATCGGACGCGTCCTCGCTGCCGCCGCCGTCGCCCGACGGCGTCGCCGGGTGGTGGTGGCCGATGACGTCGGGCGGCGTGGCGCTGGTCGGAGACACGTCCACGCAGTTGAGGTCCTTCATGCGCTGCTGCATCGTGGCCACGTCCAGCACCTGCGGGCCCAGCCACGCGCGCACGGCGCCCGGTAAGCGCATCGCCCGGCGGAGGATGCGACGCGGCGGCGAAGACGACGACGACGACGACTGCGCGCAGGTGAGGGAGAGCGCGCCTCGCCTCGCCTCGCGCCGCGCCGATGTCGCAACCGGGGACGGGAGCACCAACTTTTCCACAAAGGGGAGGGACGACACGCGGCTACGTATTACTACGACACAAGACTAAATGAATCGTCTTGGTAACGAGTACACAGTACAACTACTTGCAGACGCTCTGGATAAGGATTACGCACGGACAAAAGGTAACATTTACTGCTTGCAATGCCATCGTGCAAATGCAATTGCCCAGACTGCCAGAAAGACGTGGGTCAGACTGCATGTGAAAACTGACCGCCTCAGTCAAAAACCTGCAACGTAATACACAGCTTCTTGATGATAATCGAGTGTACAACAGTACAATAAGAGAGTTGTGTTCCGCACACGGATGCTGCGAATTTTGCGATCAGCAATAGCGGTATGTATGAATGCAGAACTAAAAATACAAAAGATACTACCCAAATATTAACAGTAAATCTTTTCTCGAGCGTGTCAATGTTGTTGTCCTGGAGGGATGCCGACTAGAAATACCATTGGGTGACGAAATGAGGAAGTTTCCGGAAAATGTTGAGGACTGGAGCATTCAAAAGCCTGTTGTGAATCACTATCCACACACGCTTACAACAATGTTTCGTCTATTGCCTAGTTTATGAATGAGTGCGTCAATAATACTCAAAAGCGGTATGCTCACGTAAGTACTCATCGGACCATTCATGACTGACCGATCTGAAATGCTTTCTCATTATTCAACTTCTGATGACGCATTTTCCTTTCGATATCAATCAATTTATCGTTCATAAGCATACAATTATAATACATTTATAATACAAGTTCAAAAACATGTTCATTTAATAAAACGGAATCCCATAGAATCCTCATCCAAGCATTCGCGAAACATGCTTATAAAACAACGCAATTGCAAGAAAAAGAAGGGGTTCATTGGATCGCCTGCTGTAATATTAATAGTTCCTGGAACGACTATTTTTAATCGTTTGCCATGAATTATATGGTTATATTAATATTAATAAAATTTCTTAATACCGCATTATTAGAATTTTATACCGTAATTTTAATTCTAAATAAATTTTGATTTTTCTAATTTTTAGAAAACATTACGGAAACAGAAGTAACAGCTAAAACGTAAATACATACAAGCAGTTTGTTTGTACTAAGCTTTTCTTTATTAGCCAGTAAAAATAAATGCTCCTCAGAAAGAAATGTGAGATGCAAATACGGCGAAAGGAAATTTTAGTTTAAAACTTCGAGATATTGGATTTTCAACTTATTTTTTTCAATTAATTTATTTAGATGAGAATAGCAAAGTCGTAAATTAATGAATGTGAGAATGTGCGTCAATGACAACGCTGTTGGTGTAGAGGAGTTGTAGAGGTGTTGGAGATTCGTTGATGCGATGATGGAATGGAATGGTTGATGGAAACGAGTGTTGGTGAGGACACGGAGATAAACGTTAATGAGAAGAATTGAATGTAAGATGGAATGCTGGTACGTCGTTTAATAAGGTGGATCGTTAATGATTTGCTGGAGAGGATTGTAGATTCGTACGCAGGTAGATGAGAATGACGAGGGGCGTGAGGGGTGAGTCTCACCTGCGGGCCGCTGATGACGACGCCCTCGCGATGCTGGCGCTTGCGGCGGCTGGCCTTGAGGCTCTCCATGCGGCGCAGCAGCGCCTTGGCGCCGTCGCGCAGCCGCTCGCTGCCCGTGCGCCGGAAGCGCACCGCCAGCAGCTCCTGGTCGCCCGGCGTCAGCGCGCCCGGCGGCAGGCTGCCGTACCTGCGCACCGCCACCCTCCGCTTACACACCGCCACGCCCTTCTCCGCTCACAAAGAAATCGCCAGAAGCATCGCGAGGGAGGAAGTGCTGCACTGATGTTATAGTTCCAGACCATAACAAATAAAACATTGGAGCGTCAATTACACACCACCTGTTACTCGAGTTTCACACCACCCTCCACTGACACACCGCCACACCCTTATTGAACCACGAAGAAAGCGCCAGAAACATCGCCAACGAGAAAGTGCTTTACTCAAATGTAATAGTTTTCGGACGAAACAAATATATTTAATTACGATTATTTAGAACATTGGAGCTACAGTTAAGTTGCGTTTTCCTCCCAATACGCTGTAGGTTTTGTAAAAATAAAGTGTGGTTTTTTAATGCAAAATATGTATTAATTTTCATCATCTCTATCGTGGGCTTTGTCGATTGAAGGAATTATGTCTCTTGCTTTTTCGAGTTATGTCTCTTTTTGATATCTCACATTACACACATTAGTTTTCTCACAATTTTACGCAATTACTACCATAATTGAGTGGTTAAAAACCAGAGCTGAAGTCGTGAAGTCCCTTATTTCTATGAAGTATGGCTCTGAATTATGTTCTATTAGTGCCATAATTCTTTATCCTTATGAATGAATGAACCAAGTTTGAGCCAATAAACAATTCATTAATAGATTCATTCATTCACAAGGATTAAAAACTTTTGTACTTACACAAGTGATAGTTCAGAGCCATGTTGTAGAGAAAAAGTGCCTTCACAACAAGTGGGTTCCACTCAATTCGTCTCTTTGCAACAAAAGTATTTTGTAAATATTTGTCTTGTCAGTGACACAGTTTTTCAATAATTTCATACATAATTGCATACAATGTTTAAATCGTTAAAATTGAACTTCTCTTTTTCTCTACATAAATATGACGAAGAAAAAAATATCCCCACGTACTTCATATCACAATTTAAAGATGAGTTGATTTAATATCCAATCCTTTAGTTACAACTCTTAGCTATCAAAAAGCGAGTGCTGACAAATCTTGAGGGAGGCAACAAATTGGAAATAGAACAATTTCTGTTCAATGGAGATCTTGTAGTGTTAAATATTCCTTGAAGAGCAGTTGCTCTCACTAGCACGTGATTGGTAGCAAAGTAATTTATCTCATTGACCAAGCGTAATATAGCGAGAATGGACAAGGGCAACGTGCCAAATAAGGTGACATAATTCAAGATTTTCAAGATGTATGCTACGAATATGTCCAGGGTCAGTGTCACAGATAAAATATGATCAAATTATGAATAGTAGTTCGCGATGTCATTTCAGTTGAATGTAAAAGGAATGAATAGATTTCCTATGATTATAATCGCAATGTCTGAAATTTGTTGTATGTAATATATCTTGTCGCCGGCACGCACCCAACATGGTTTAAGAATAGGAAGCAGAGACCAGCACAAGGTAAAACTATACTAATGAAAGATTTGAAAAATATCCGAGATATCTACGTATAGAAATAAGTACATTTGTAAAGAAAGTATATGCATAGAAACATCTACAAATGATACATTAAATGACGAGAGATGAGAATTATCTCGTTATTGTTAAACATATGTATTGATCATTCAATTTCTCATGAACAACGCAATATTACACTATACATATTACATTATTTTTCATGACTCAGTTTGTAAGTCTAATTTTAGTGGGTGTAATTGGTTTGGCTCACGTGGAGGTTTTCGACTAAAGAATTTCTAAATGTAGTTCATTTAATTCGAGTAATTCGTACGTACACAGCAATAAGGAGGTCAGGTACATAAAGTTACAACACGCGACTTGACGCACCAAAAATAAAAGAGATGTGTCTAAAAACTAATAACCGACGGTGAATCAGAAAATAATATAATAATTATGAAGCGTACCGCAAAACAAAATTAATAAAAAGGAAAAAACTTGGTGTTCTTAAACAGTGGGCTGAGAGAAAAGCCCACTGGCAGTAAAACTGAAAACATTAATTACTAATTTCTCTTGCACTTCCTTCAGAATAAAGTAATTAAACCGATGAAAAGCATAATGATATTAAATGGAGATTACGAAGGCACACTTGCGCTCTTTACGAAGAACACAATAATTCCGAACAGGGTCCGGATCCCTGTCGCATCCTATGTTGAATTTGTTTATCTTTTCTCAAAAACGATTGAAGATTAATGAAATTTGTACGGATTCGCGAGATTGTTAGCCACAAGTTTCATGCAATTGTTAATAAGATTTCGAAACTTACGATTTAAAACTACTTTTTGTTCGATGGGTTCGCAATTTTTTTAAAAACCAAGACCGATACTGTGAATTTACTGATTCAAAATAAACAAGGGAACATAAAATGCCCTTAATTTTTTTTTCCAAAAAATTTCATCAATTGCTATTTCTAATATACGGTAGACTAAATATTTCCAATTTAACAGAGGATAAGCTGGTACTTCCTGACTGCCGAAGATCCGATTCACACGGTTTCTTTTCATGAGTGAGTCAGGGCCTCCAGAAGCCACACTGCGCATGTGCGCGTTCGCCAATCTCCAGAATCGTTTGCCAAAAGGGAGCGCCAAAAGGAATCGAGTCCATCGGGCACACTCACCGGAAGGCGGAGATGACGGGCGCCTCGGTGTCGAAGTCCTCGTCCTCCTCGTCCTCGTCGAGGAGGCGCGCGGCGGCGGGCGTGCCGGGCGCGGGCGTGGCGGGCGAAGCGGGCGGCT